AGCTCTGGAAATTCATCGGACACAGCGGGGACAGTGATGGGGAAAGGTTATCATTCAGTAGAGTTTTGAAGAATTAAAGAACTGCTGTGTTAACAGTTCGCACTGTTGTTCCTTTTTCTGTTCGTTTTTGAGACTCATAAAACAGCCTTAGATTTTGAGTGATGAAGAAAATCAGGAAATTTTATTACAAAGAACAAGAACAACATACTCAACAGGTTCTGAAGACAAGTTTCCTTGATATAAGCCATATCAATTGACAAGACTAAAGAAAAGACAGCGAACTGTTCATGGACTAGAATTTAATGGCCATTAGCTCTTAGATATGACAGTTCCTTAAGCGGTAATCCCTATATAATCCTGACACTTAACTTTGAAGATTCAGAAGCTGAACTAGAGATTGCTCCTGTTCTCATGTTTAAAGTAAATTTTACAACCCCCTGCTTACAGCAGGTAAATTCATTATCAAGACCAAAGAGGTTGATAAAACGCACCCAGCGTTGTTTGCTGATAACTTACCGGATTAGCTTAGCTGAAAAGTACTCAATACACTTATTCTGCTATGTAGTAACAAAATGCAAGCAATAGTTACAGTAAATATTCTTAGGAATAACTTATAATGTTTCCAGAAGGGAAAGTGCGATAGCTACTACTTGCTTAACGAAGCGGCTGAAGATCCCAAGGACTCCCAAGAATAACCTGGGAAAAGTGTCTCCGCTGACTCTGATCTAGACTCATGAAATATTCTACAAAGCTCCGACCCCGGAACAACACCGTTGGAAACACTGTCTGGTGCTTGTGCTTCAGAGACCCGGAAAGATTACCGGTCACCGAAACTAAGGGACTGACTGACTGAAAACTTGTGACATTTATTTAGTAAATACTTTGAATCTATTAAGATTGCTTAACAGTAAGACGTCAGTTAAACTGTTAATATTGTCTACAAATTGCAAATTTTACCGTTTGCCCTCTACAAGTAAAGCTAAATTTACGGTAGAACTAGAAAATAAAATCTACTTCCTTTTTAGACCTGTTAAATAAGTTTAATTACAGGGGCTTGATTATGGATGCAAAATTTTGATCGAAAGAGTGGGAATACGAACGCCAGTGACAGAAATGACGCTCGCTTATGAGGCTCGGCGTACTTCGGAATACGTCAGTCTTTTAATTTTAAAATGTGTTAATGGCTGTTAATTTTCTGATTAATCAGATCAAAATTGAGATAGTTTGAACACGCGGTTTCGATTAAGGGCGAGGGTCTTACAGGGCGGGCCTTTCGCAATTCTTTATGGAGGCGATAAAGTGAACAGCTTATGGGGAACACCTGACATTGTTTGTATTCTGACACGTGGCGTGTTGGCACAGTTGTCTACGAGGTCTGCTTCGACGTGAGCTTCGATTCCGCTCGAGGGCAATCTTTGTCTGATTCACATATTCCCTTAAGCAAGGAATTTACCACATTGCTTTATACCGGGATTACTCAATCGGTATGGCGTCGAACTCAGAACCAGAGTTCAAGCCCCAGTAGGGGTAACTCGCCCTTCTTCCTTCCGAGATTGATAAATGAGTTCCACTCTATTGGAAAGAAATAGGAGACAACGAGTTGCGCTTGCTACATGGCCGTAGTCTCTGCCCCCTGCCTTTAAAATAAAGCACTCCTAGCTGATGGCTTATTAACGGAAATCAGCTCCGCACCGTCAACTTAATGAAACGAAGGGCGCGAGAACAGTCACTGATGAAAATGAAGGAAGATCGACGACGACGACGACATTCCCTCTGATCCAGTTTTCGTAGATTGAGGACAGTTTATAGCATCTTCCTCATGTTCCTTTTCAAGCAATCCATAAGGAGTAGGGAGTAGAAATCCAGCATTGTTCAACTAACGTCTAAACCTTTTCGCTAATGCCCTATTTCTGTTTTCATTAGTTAGCCTTGCCACACTTTATAACCCACTATCGAGAGTTATAATTAGCACCCTAAAAAATCAACATTGACATGCATGAAATTTAACATAATGACAGTAAATAATAAAGCGAATATATATATGTCATGAATATAAAACTAGCAGCGCATGAGGATGTGCTTTTCTTTCCACAGCTGATAAACTTCATCAGAAATTTTCCAAATCTGCCCTTCTTTCCTGTGAGCCGTCGACCATTCTCTAATCAAAGGTTAGATGATATTATAAAATGATTTTACAGTGTTTTTTGAATGAAAACCGCGACATTGGTTTTTAATAGTTCCGGCAGAGCTTATAAATGCTCCTTTTCTTGTAAAAGCTTACCTTAAACGCATAATAAAACCTTCCAACTCCTGACCGTGAGAGCGCATGAAACGTTAAGACATAATAAAAATGTTTTTTAAAACTTTGCTTGAAAACCGAAATACCCTATCTCTGTCACATTTTAACGTGAAACGGTTAAGTCAAAAGTATAAAAGTCTGTGGTTTATGTCAACTTCGATCACTTCGCAAGAATTGAATGTACTTTAAAAATAAGAATTTCGGGTAAGCTAGAAAAATTATGCTATTTATGATTTTTTTCTCTCCACTTTAAAGATAGCAAGTATATATTTAGATAATCGATTGCCAGTCATGGTGAAAACACTTTTAAAACTTTGTGAATCAGGCTTAGACGATTTAACTTGACGCACTACTCCTGAATTACTATAATGACGTCAGTTAGTGTTTCATCTCTGATTGATAGCTATTCTACACTTTGCAACATCAGCGTAACATTTAGGCTATATCGATGCACAGCAAATCCAACCGGCAACCTCGAAGCAGTGCTTAAGAGAGTTGCTCCAACGAAAAGGTCCGCGGACCAGAAGAAGCCTGACGAAGTAGACCACGTGATTATTTGGGATACGAATGCAGCTTATATTACGAAAACATTTTGCCCATCGTTTGCTAAGAAGCACGGAAAAATACATATTAAAAATGGTAAGAGCTGTTTTTGAGTCAATTTACTGTCAACCTTAAAAACAGTTCATGCTACAAGAATGTTCTAATGCAAGAAAAGTCTGGGATTCTTTACAGTATTACAGTTCAGCTTTAGTTACTACATAAAAAAATTTTAAACAAAATCTATAGCATTTGTTCTGAACTTTTTTGGTGTAACATTATATTTGACATTATGAGTTTACACTGCGAAAATATATTTTATAGCCACAGTCATTACGTCACTGTTAACACCTGTTCATTACTTGTGTTTGTACGAAAGACTAGAACTTGTTCGCAAAGTCACAAACTGACGGATTACTTCATGTAGGCTTAGCTACTCTTCAGTGGTCAGAAGATCAAACAAAGCTGTTGTATGTTGCCGAGCAGTTTTTCCAACCCATTGGATATTCGAATCCGCTCTTTGAAGAAGCAAATGACGGCTCCGGCCCAGAGGTATCTCTATTAAATTTTTGACCTAATTTTCGATTATCTATTCACTTCATAACTGATTCGTATCCTTCTCTTTTTAATTATTCTGCTGTCGTATTATTTACTTATTTTTATTATTCGTTATGTCGTATTATTTTATTTATTTTGTTGTCGCATCATTTACTGTATTGTCTTTATTTCTTAGTGTAATTTCTGCCTATTTTAAACAAAGAGATCAAGTATAAGATAAAGTAAGACTTGTGACGGGACCACTGAATCCAATGTGGTTTCAGGGAGGCGACGGTAGCGCAACGATTCAGTAGCTTGTTTTGCACTTTACACATTCCGGGTTCAAACTCCATTTGCGGAGTAAATTTTACAAACTGCTAATTCCCTTTAGCAGAGAGTTCACCCCACTGTGGTTCAGTAAAACCAGCCGAAATACGGGTAGCACCTTGTTGACCTGCGAATAATAGGGACAGCGTGGTGTTTCGTGTAGTCGTGTCAAAGTGTGCATAAGGCCATGCTGTCTCGTGCGTGTGCCTTCTGGCAGCGATTTACTTTATCTGTCTGATGGTTGATTAAAAGTCAACATTGGATGTAAAAGTAAATTTAATTCCTTTTAGGCAGTTGTTCCCGAAACGTCATGTTACCCCTATTGTAAATAAAGCACTAGCCTGGAGCTCCGATTTACTACATAACGGATCAGAAGAAATTGGAAAGTTTGTAACAGTTTGAATGTCTTTCTTCCTCTCATTTTCATGATGAGCCCTTCCTTTAATCAAGTTAATGTTGGGGCACTGATTTCTATTTTCATTGCATCAACTGGTAGTGCTTTATTCGGTTAAAAGCGACAGGCATAGTGCGTAATCTCATAGGCTTATACTCATTTATCAACCTCGGAAAGAACAGAGACGAATGATCCCAACCGGGCTTCAGGCTCAGGACCTCTTGGTTCTGAGTCCGGCGTTCTACTGTTTGAGTAACTCCAGTTTGAAACAACATGTAGTAAGTTCCTTGCTCAAGAAAATTTCTACTTAAAACACTGATTGCCCTATGACTGAATTGAACCCGACATCTTCATACTTCGAAGCCAACCGCTAATACACTGTACTACCACGTTATCAGATCAGATCGATGTTAAAATTATGCTCCGAATTTTCAGGTCGTTAGAAAATTCTTAATTTTTGACATTTCAAAACATTGAGAAAGATTCTCTCCTTCAGTGCCTTGAGTTTAGTTATACTGAC